CAATCTACGAGCTTACTCACAACCTATTGACTTCTCTTAATTCATTTTCATTTTCAGATCTCAGCAATTAATCTGGGGGGTACAATGTTATCATAACTAGTAGAAACAATGGTCAAAGCTACAAAATAAGACCCAAATTGTAATAAATCAGAATTATCCTTTAAATCCACAACAAGGCCAAGTAATCTTAGAGAGAGTAGCTTTGTGTTAAAATCACAGGCACATGTAGTTCAGACCAAACTGTGATACACTGACACACACATTGCTGCAGTATCTTTGGACTATTAGCCACGCAGACAGCACATATGGCCCCAATTATTTATTCTATATTCTCTCTCTGTCTCTGTACTGACAGTCATGTAGATTTATCAAAGTTATGTCCAGGCTGTAATGCATGTCAGTCTGATCTCTGGTTGCCAAATGACAACAACCCTGAGAATAGAGGAAGAACTTCACTCCGACAGGACTGGGCCAATTGAGAGGTAGAAAATAAAGGAGAGGTGTGAGACAGAGAGAAGGCAGACAGCGAGTCAAATGGATGGATGAAGGTAAGAGAGAAATGTATAGGGTTACTAACAGACCTAGCGGGCATGTTTATCAGCAGATCTTAATCTGAGCAGAAAGAACCGCGTTACCCACAATTCATCATCATTACTCGCCCCACCTGCCACCTGCCACCTCCCTCCACATGCCCCTGCTCCTTACCTCGGATATAGCCTTCTGTGGGAATCTAGCTGGAAACCCCACCGTCAATTGCCTGATAACATTCACCTTGGGGTGGTCCGGGTGTCAGCCATACGATCTGTTTCGCACACATATTCGCTTGTACATACCTGCAGGCTAGGATAGGACCCCCTTAGTGCCCCCCGAGCTCACCTATCACCTGTCTGGTTAAACCCCCAGCATGTTAGCAAGCCTTTCTACTCTGTCACTCACTGTTTGTGACCAGAAAGTGCATGCAAACATACAAGTGTGTGTGTATGTGTTTGGGTGTGTAGTTTGATGAGTTTGATGAGTTTACCCCTCAGGGCTGGTAGAGCCTGAGTCATTTTTCCCCCCGGAAGTTGGAAGGGGAGTCTGGCGGGGTCAGGGGTCATAAAGTTTAGGTGTATCAACAGAAAACCTTCAGCCCCATGAACGACCACCGCTGATCCGTCGCCTGTTGACACCTCCTAAACATTAACAGCTCGCTCATGTAACTAAGCTCTGAACACCTGCTGCACTGGATTAAAATCTGGCCTACAGTTTAGCTGCCTACAGTGTCAACTCCTCCATTCATCTTTCATCCATTCGCTCTGCCTCTATCTGATAGGGTGGGTGTCCGCCATTAGGTATTAGGTGGTGCAGCTTTGTTGGGCAGAGGTTTGGGTTGGAAGGCTGTGGGAGCAGTAGGAGGTGCAGATTTATTAGGGAGCTCAGACTAATATTTACGTGACCTGCCAGGACCTGTGGGGTGTAGAGACAGAGAGGGAGAGAAAGTATTGGTACAAATTGTGGCGTCTGCACTGAGGGAAAAAGGGGATTACGACATAAAACACTTACCTTCTGCGACTTACAGCGAGAAAATGTTCACCCTTACCCACCCCCAACCCCTTGTAGCCCAGTCCCTCAACCTTAACTGCCCCCTTTTGCTATAATGGTCCACAGCAACACATTTTGATATGTACCTCTATAATATAACAGCAACAACTGCCGTTCTCTTTTGAGAAGTAACTCAAAATATTGGTCCAACAGGCAACTGGCTGCCAAATCAATTCTTTGATCTGGCATATGAGGAATTTTCCTTACAATTCTCCTGCATTGATGGAGTATTATTTCAGCACTCACTGTTGCATGTAAAACATTTCCGGTGCTTCTATAATTGCTCCAACTACTGACACATACAACCACATGCAGGTTGACCTCAATGAATTTTCCGTGAGTAGAAAGCCTGTGTGACCTGACACAGCACCAATTTGTCATCCCTAATTTATCTGTTATATAACTCACTCACTGCTAGGCCAGAAGTCAAGCTTAGCGTCGCATAGCAGAATATCCCGCAGGTTCAGCTCACAGACAGCCACTGTGAGGGTTAAAGGACAAAGAGTGTTGGTGCCTGAACCTGAGTCAGACATTTAGACAGTTAGTTGCAGTGAATTCTTCGCCGTACAAGGTGTGGGCTGCCATGTGATGAGGTTTGTATATGTGTGTGACAGTGTGAGTGTGTTTATCTCCCTCCCTGTGTGGGAATTTACAGACACACCTCGCAAGGCACAAACAACAGTGACCTGAAAAAATAGTCAAAATTCCACCAACATACCAGGGAATCTGGGGGTTTGGGCTGACAATACACACTGACACACACAGAGAACGAGAGACAGAGGTGTGGGAAACAGAAGAGATACAGGGTCAGGGTCAAATTGTGTAGGCCTCACAGACATAGATACCAGTGAGCGATACCAGCTGACACACACTGATGCTGACACTAACATTGATACCATGGCTACCTGAGTGACACTGATAGATAGTGCTCAGCCATCCCAGTGTGAACACACAATCAAACCAAAACTCAACTCATCCCTGTCACTTTTAATCACTACATACCGCGCCAAAGGGTTGTCTCCTCCAACCTCTGCCATGGGAGAAAAAAAGAAAAAAATCAGTGTACCAGACTTTAAACAGTCCAGTGTGTAACATTTAGGAGGATCTATTGGTGGAAATGGAATATAATATTCATATGTATGTTTTCATTAGTCTATAACCACCTTAAAATAAGAATGGTTGTGTTTTCGTTACCTTGGAATGAGCCATCTTTATCAACAGGAGAAGCGGGTCCTCTTCCGGAGGCCACTATGTTGAACTGTTTTTACAGTAGCCCAGAATGGACAAACTAAACACTGGCTCTAGAAAGGGTTTTTACATTTCTTTGCGATTTTCACGGCCGTCGTAGTTTCTCCTACACGCTTGGAAGGAAGAGCTGTATTCACATGGTTGCAATCTACAACTTCAACAGTAGATGCCACAGAATATTACACACTGGTCCTTTAAAGGGTCTAAACACTGAACAAAAAGTAGCCTAAGGCCATAGCCTCTTCAGTGGTAAATGGATAAAATGTGAAACCATCTACTGGAGTGTCTACCTGCACTCAAACATGTTCACAACTATGTGTTTATTGTTGCTTAGAGTG